CAGTGGTGGGTCTCATCACCAACAACGATGAGTCTGAATACAGAGAGGAGGTCCAAAACCTGGTGGACTGGTGTCAGAATAACACCCTGTCTCTAAATGTTCAGAAGACTAAAGAGATGGTTGTTAACTTCAGGAAGAGCTCAATGGCCCACACCCCACTGCACATCAATGGATCTGCTGCTGAGATGGTCATCGGTGTGAAGTTCCTGGTGTGCACATATCAGCTGACCTCTCCTGATACATAGTGAAGGACACTCTCCACCCCTCACATGCACTGTTCTCCCTCCTTCCATCTGGCAGTGGATTTCGCAGCATCAAAACGGTGATGACCAGACACTGCAAGAGCTTCTTCCCCCAAGCAGGCAGGGCCCTTAACTCACTACCACAAAAGGACTGATATACACATACACCTCTACAGACACCTACAATACTCATCAAAGGACTCAAAAACAACAACAAAAAACCCACAAATGCACTACAAACTGGACCTGGGAACAACATGCTTATTTGTGCACTCAGTCACATAGTTCTGAACACACACCTAAATTATATTGTATTTGCACATTTTGCATTCTGCACGTCTTTGTCATGTCTCGTCAATAATATCCTGACAATAACTTGAAACACTGCAGACGTTCTTCTTCATGCATTTGTGTTTTCACATATCGATTATTGTAACGCTCTCCTTTGTGGGCTGCCAAAGAAAAGTTTTAGAGGTTTACAGATGGTGCAAAATACAGCTGCTCGCATTTTAACTAAAACTGGAAAATGTGAGCACATTAGTCCTGTACTGAAATCCCTTCATTGGCTAGCTTGTCAGGTTTGAGCAGATTTTAAGGTCCTGCTGCTCACCTACAAGGCTTTAAATCAGGGGTCCCCAATCCCAGTCCACGAGGGCTGGTGTCCCTGCAGGTTTTATATGTGTCCTTGATCCATCACAGCTGATTTAAATGGATAAATTACCTTCTCAGCGTGTCTTGAAGTTCTCCAGAGGCCTGGTAATGAATTAATCATGTGATTCAGGTGTGTTGACCCAGGGTGAGATCTAAAACCTGCAGGGACACCGGCCCTCATGGACTGGGATTGGCGACCCCTGCTTTAAATGGTTTGGCACCTTCATACCTCTCTGACCTTTTACACCTTTATGTTCCATCCCGTGCTCTCCGATCTCAGGACTCTGGCCTGTTAAAAGTTCCTAGAGCCAGAAAAAAGACTATTGGGAGAAGACCCACTTGTTCACCCTATCCTACATGTCTTAATTCACTGCCATTTAGTCTTTGACATTGTTAAGAGATATATTCTAAAACACTTCTTCAGCAGAGAATCAGAGAGGAGAAACACACAGATTTTCTTGCTAGCAAGGGCAGCCTCCTGAGCTCACACACCAAGAGTGAGGCTCCAAGATTCGCAAATGAGAAACTGCCCCTGGGGTGAATGCCAGAACACCCTGGAATGTTACAGACCTCCTAGGATGAGACATTCTTTCAATATGCCACCAACTATATACTTCTAAACACAAATGATTACATGCAGTATTCTACCATATGCAAACTTATATCATTAAAAGATTATACTGACTACTAAGTACAATTTTCCATTAACAGACATTTTTATCGTTTTTAACTTTTATTGTGTTTTTTAACTTGTATCGCTTTTATTTATTTATCTCTTTATTTTCAAATAGCTGTCTAGCACTTTGTTTGAAAGTGCTTTATACATAAAGTTATTATTATTATTATTATTATTATTATTATTATTATTATTATTATTAATGGAATATTTATGGAATATGCAGCTTTTTCAAGTATTAACTTGGTGGCTTTGGCAACACCTTAGGAGGGAATAATAGTAATATGACTGATCCATATGGGCACAAATAATAGACACTTTTTTGTTCTAACGATGTTCCCCGACTTTGAAAATTCATTCAAAATCGGTTTATCGTGAGCACCTACACATGAAACAACTTAAACAATATAATGGCTTCAAGCTCACACTGAGGCCTGTGGACACTATCAGCCACTGAGACAGTAGACACATGTTTGTGTTTCGTTCATGAATGTTTCATACTTTAAGGCTGCCTGTTTATTTAAGGGAGATGATACAATACATTATAACTGTACATAGTCTATCATCTGTGATATCATTAAATAAATAGATTTTAGATAGATGCTTGTGCATTCTTAAAGTCTTATATGTTGAATTGAACTGAGTCTGTCATCTGTTCACAGCCTCTCCCAGTCAGTGCTGTAGTCCATGCCTGTCTCAATACAGACAGCAGTGTAGTCAAACACTGCTGTCTGTTTTATTGGGAATAAACTTTAAAAAACACTAACAAACATCCGTCTCCTATTTTGTGTGTCATATAGGAAAGAAGCATCAATATCTGATGAGAAGACTTGCTGTGGGTTATTTTGTGGTGTTTGGTGCAGTTTTCTTGTTTTGTGGGCTTGTTTATTTTCAAGAGGAGATGAATATCTCTTATAGGTTGATTTGTTCACATTTTCACATCTTAATTTTTAAGTGAAATGTGTGTTTTCAGTTTATACACTATATGCATATAAGGCAGCCCTTTGCTTTTGCAGTATTTTTATGTGGTGTGTTTTTCTGTTTTAACAAAAAGGGAACATTCTTCCTTGATAATATGCTGGAAAAGCTTGAAAATGGACCTTGTAAGTGCTTAAAGGTGCTTGACTTTGACCCTGAAAATGTTTGCTATATTTGCCTTACTGTTCTCAGATAGTGTGCTGTGCCTCTTAAACCACACAGTTTAACCAGAATAGCTGATGTAGGATGGGGAAATGAAACAGTTAGTCAGACGAGTGAACATGGCTGAAGTTCCGATTCAGAAAAAAACTGAATCAGACTGTAGGCGATTATTTTAAGAAATAGACCCTTGCATTTTCATTTTTCCCCAAAAGACAGTATCGTGTTAAAGTTTCACAAAAGGACAGAGGACAGACAGCTTTGATTACTCTGACTTTTTATTCACTCAGAAGAAAAATTAAGCATAAAGGGCTGCCAATTACCCAGTAAGTGCTTTTCACTGGAGCTCCACAGAGCTGCTCTATGAAGCTCTGATTAATAAAAATAGCAAAACCTGGGCTGATTCCTTGAATAATTATGACAAATGAGCCCTGAGCAGCCAGGTTACAGTGCATTTCTGTCATGTGCAGACAGTTATGATAAACGTTATCTCGTGGAAAGAATTGATAATTCACAGTGTAGTTTGCACTGTAACTTATCAACTAGGCTGGTGCAGTTTTATAACGATGCACTTGTTTCTAAGCCGGAGTGGTTTCTCTCCTCGCCTCTTGCATCCTGTTAAGCGTGCATATTGCATGCAGTATAGCTCTCTGTTTCTTCTGATGCACCTCTGTCAGGACATTGTTTGAAATAGCACCATTTGTGTTCTCTCTCTCACAGCAATAATAATAGCAATAATAGCAATAATAATAATGGATTGCATTGGATTGCTTGTGGGGATAGGTTAATTGGATAATCCAAATTGTCACTAGGTGTGAATGTGCGAATGAATATGAGTGCGAATGGTTGTCTGTCCCTGTGTGTTGGCCCTGCGACAGACTGGCGACCTGTCCAGGGTGTACCCCGCCTCTTGCCCTATGACAGCTGGGATAGGCTCCAGCGCCCCCCGCGACCCTGAAAAGGATAAGCAGAAGCGAATGGATGGATGGATGCATTTATATAGCACTTTTCGAGACCCTCAAAGCGCTTTACAATTCCACTATTCATTCACTCTCACATTCACACACTGGTGGAGGCAAACTGGGGCAGACTGACAGAAGCGAGGCTGCCATATTGCGCCATGAGCTCCTATGGCCAACACCAGTAGACCAGAGGAGCCTTATTACAAAGTGTCTTTGAACAGCAGAGGTGCAGAAGTGTGTGCATGTACCACAGAGCTGTGGCTCAGTGGCGAGTCTCACAGGCTTGAAGACATTTATAATTATTAACTTGTTTGATCTGCTACTCAGCAGAAACAGGCACAAGTAGACATTTTGGACTTTAGAATGTATTTTCAAGTTTTACAGCTTTTCCTACTGATAAAAACTGATCCCTTATGGACGTTCATATTACACAAAGTAATTAAGAAATAAACAATTAAATGACAGAAGAATTTCTGTTTTAACTACAGTTTAAACAAAAAACAAAATCCAGAATGCTTCCTGTAATTTTACACATTTATTTCCTACAGTTTAAGTCCATGAAAATTACTTACTTCCTCATGTAGCTTTCTTTTTTTTTGCACAATACCATTTTTTATTTCTTTAAGTCTATTTTTAGCACGAACAAATTATAAATAATAAATATTTAAAATTTGTTCATAAATTATAAATAAATTATATATGTAGTCATTTTACAAGCCCTGTGGTATTCACCTGTTTTATTTTGCTTTTTTGTTTTTAATCTCGAGTTTGTTGTTATGTTGTCTGTTTTCTGCAAAGCACTCATTGAATTGCGGCCAGCTCAATGAAAGGGGTTATAATAAATTTCTGGTCACTAAAAATATGTTTGCTCTGTGTGCTTTCTGTGTGTGTGTGTGTGTCCAGACGTGTGTTGGCAGCAGCTGTCGTGGTTTTCCTCGGCCTGGTCTTAGTCTCTATGCCACTGCTGAGCACAGGACCAATCAAACCTGCAGAGTGGGTCATCAACCCTGCACATAGAAAGGTGAGAGCACAGTAGAGCAGAGTGTTTATGGTGTGGGTTTAGTGACTTATCTGTATTCAGAAGTGAAGAATCGTGGTGGGGTAAAGGGCTGCAAGAAGCACTCTGCCCTTCCTTCCTTCTTAAGTCCGACGTTTACATACATCCTGTCTCAAACCAATAGTGTCTTGTAAAGCAGCAGTGCAAAAACACTAATATAGTTTAGATTTATTTAGATTTGGATAGATCTTATTTGACCTTTGACTGTGTTTGAGGTTTTGTTTTTGTTTTGTTTTTTTACATATTTTGCATTTTCTCATAAATAACACAAAAGTATTTCTTAACCTATTGCTCGATTAATCAATGGAATAATTAATTGATTACTCGATTTTGAAAATAATCGATAACTGCAGCCCTAATGTGAGCTAATGGTGCCAGTTGTTTTTACACATTAAACCTGATCTAGTTGTTCATCGTTTCATTAACTGGCCCTGAAACTGAGCTGACACTTTCCTGTGTGTCTGCGCTGTTGTTCTGATATAGATGCAAAAACCACAAGAAAACGAGCCTCTGTAACAGAAGACGTGGCGTTTGAAGCCGCATTGTTTTTTATAAACCCGAGCCAGGTCATGAAATTAGATAAGCGCCCCGGATGTGAAGTGCTGCATTACACTTTTGACTTAGTGTGCAGACATCTTGTTGTGTTGTATTCAGCTTTTTACATAATCCCATCTATCCAATCCATATGTCTTTCAATCAGTTAAACTTTCATTCCCTTTTTGACATTGTTTTATTTTCTGCTTTCCTCAGTGTTGGGGAGTAACGGAATACATGTGCCACCGTTACGTATTTAAAATACAAAATATGAGTAACTGTATTCCGTTACAGTTACCATTTAAAAATGTTTTATTTAGAATACAGTTACTTTGTTGAAATAAATGGATTACACAGCGGTCTTTTCCTGTTTCATATGTTAGGCTGTGCCCGCTCTATTTTCCACGCCGGTGGAAACCCAAACAAAACACGCATTAAGACGCTCTAATGCCTGTGTCTCAATCTTACGGCCCATGTCACCTCTACTGCGGCCCACGGAATGACGTGAAGAAATATTTTTCAAAAAATTATGAAGGCAATAGACAGAGAGTTACAGGCATCGCCCTAAAGAATGTAGCCTGATGGGCAGTGTAGCCCAGTAGTAAGTAAGCTATTGAGACTCGACTGTACACTGTGTTCCTGTTTTCCTCCCAAACAATAAGTCCCATTGGAGCAGCCTTTCAACGCCTCTCTCTGTCTCTTGCTAGCAAAGTTGACCCAGACAACAAAGTAAAGCTAGTTTTCAGCTACGAGCCCGACACGAACCCGACGTATTAGCCAGAGGTCCCTTTACTATGGTTCAGAGCCGCGGACCTGTTTTATATACGCGTCGAATAGTTTTCCATACGAGATCACTGCAAAAAGTGCAGCCTTACCCAATGTCCACCTACTGTTACTCATTTATATTAAGATTTAAACATCTAGTTGGTGTTGGTATGGAGAGTAACCTTCAGTAATAGTAATAAATCACACAGCAATAGGACATTCATGTAGTTGTAAAAAGCTTGATAATACATTAAGTAATCCAAAGTATTCAGAATACGTTACTCTCATTGAGTAACTTAACTGAATGCGTTACAAAATAGATTTTGGGGCATGTAATCTGTAGTGGAATACATTTAAAAAGTAACCTTCCCAACACTGGCTTTCCTTTCTTCTTCCTCCAGCTCGTCCATGAATATGTGCAGAGAGTCTTGGAGAGTCAGTGTCGCCCTGGCAGCACCAGACAGAGCTTGTTAACTCATCTCCCTGCTTCCAGTCACAATGTCCAGCCCTTCCTGTGGAAAGATGAACCACTGAACGATGACCTTTTCTTGTATCCCTCGCCGTTTGGGTTCAAAGGTCTTCAGAGCAAAGTAGCGGAACTGCAAAAACTGGTGAATGCAGTTTTTTTTTGTTTTTTTTGGGGGGGGGTTAAGATCCTTCAGTATCTGAGTGATTTCCACTGCTCAAAAAATAATAAAAAAACACTTCTCAGTAGGGTGGGAGATGAAAATGATCAACCTACAGAGGGCTGAATTCAAAGACACACCCAAAAATGAAAGTGAAAAAAAAGATGCAGCAGCTAAGCAACTCAAAATGACTCCACCTGTGGAACCACTCTTGCTCCTGCGGTTGTCTCGTTGTTCCCCTGGAGCACCTGTTGTTAATTTCATTAAGAGCAAAGCAGCTGAAAGTAATTAACAACCCCCTCTGCTGCTTCACTGATCACATCAATATCCCAAAAGTTTAAATGACGTCACTTGACTTGACGTACTCTCGTTAGAAAGTGTTCCTCTTATTTTTTGTGTTCCGTTTACACCACAGGTGTCGAACTCCAGGCCTCGAGGGCCGGTGTCCTGCAGGTTTTAGATGTGTCCTTGATCCAACACAGCTGATTTAAATGGCTAAATTACTTCCTCAACATATGTTGAAGTTCTCCAGAAGCCTGGTAATGAACTAATCATGTGATTCAGGTGTGTTGATCCAGGGTGAGATCTAAAACCTGCAGGCCCTCGAGGCCTGGAGTTCGACACCCCTGGTTTACACTATGCAGAACATATACCACTGCAGCTGAATGCACGTATATACCACAAGTCAGTGGTAAGCCACGGACTTGTGCACCTGTGCATCAGTCTTTTTCAGAGCACAGATGTAATAGTGTGAATTTCTCTCTGCAGCTACCAGCCTCAGACTCACCACTGCCTGAGAAGGCTGCAGGGAAATGTCAGCGCTGTGTGGTCATGGGAAACGGAGGCATTCTCAAAGGCTTGGAGCTGGGCCCGCTGATTGACCGCTTTGACACCATTATCAGGTCAGAATTGTTGCTTGATGAGTAAACCTGAACAAAATAAACAGCCTACTTGATTAAACAGTGACCATATTGAATGCATGTTTGACCAGGTAAAAAAAAAA